CTTAGACTATTTTTTATTGTTACTAACACCGATATTCCAAAACCCTTTTTTATTCTTCAAAATTAATAAAATATATATTAAAGATGCTCACATACATAGATTGACCTTAAACATAATACACTCTTTTGGACAGTCATGTAAAAAACATTTTAAATTAATGTTTACTACATAGGATACGAAATCGGGGATCTTTAGACAAAAGCAACTTTAACAGCACATAAGAACTTTGAAGCTCGTTTTAAGCCACGAACAAACAGACTCTCTATAGACGGGGACCGGCCAAATTATTCTTATCAACCAACTAAGTGTTTTAATGATCTAGAATTCGATTCAGTTGCGAATCACCTTTGTTTCAAATTCCTTGGTTGCCCCAAGCCTACCACTTAACATTTCTCATAAAATCATTTACAATCGTTTTCATATTACAGGCGATGTATACAAACCTTAAATAATTTACTTAAGAGAAGGGGTAACTATTTTGGAGTGGTAAAAATCAAGTAAGAAAACATTTGAAATTGAATCCCCTTTTCCTACTAGCCAACCACAAAAGTGTTTATGAAACTTATGCCCGTTTTTGCTAAACTAAGTAGTGACCCAAATATGTCACATAAATATTTAGGAATCGCCTTTCACCATTTACTAGGAACCACCTAGCAAAAGTAAGCAACAATTAAATTTCCATCTGGTGTATACATATTAAATAAAAAACGAATCAATTCATGTCAGAAATATCTCAGCGACTCAATTTTGTCCCTTGAATTAGAATTCAATACACGGAAAATACATTTCTGTTCCGAATTGAAAACACTTCCCGAATTGGTGTCCCTTCGTATTCGAAGACGTCAGACCTCTATGAATATTTATAAAAATGGGTCACAAAATGGCCAAGTGAAACTAAGCCTTTATATAATGGGTTTATTTTCTAAAATCCAATAACATATCTTTTAAACTAAATATTTCAGAATCTATGTCATGCAGATAAATAAAATAATTTAAGCTTAAATCATTATATAGCATTAAATTAAATAAACAACATAATATTTTAAATGCTAGATGTATTTTCGTTAGACATCCTTTTTAATTTGAATAACTATATTTGTATATAGTTTCAATCTATAGTATTATATTTAAAGTTGACGAGTTTGTTTGTTTGGTTAATAGCACTAATCTCAGAAACCACTAGATCGAATTGAAAAAATATTTTTGTGTTGTGTAATCCATTTTTTGAGGACATACATAGCTCAAATTACAAGTTGAGTAACTGTAGCCCCCTTAATGAGTATCTGGACGACAAAGTCCATTTTATACATTAAACCGACTGAGAATCTAACTCGGAACTTCAGAGATGGCGACTCAGAGGCTGTATATGATATTTAAGAGTGAAGCCGCAGCGGCATTGAAAAATGTTGCAACAACGGAAAAACCACACAAGCTAAGCCACTGGCGGATAGCTGTAATTAAAAACTAATCACAGTCTTCTTTTAAAATGTGATTATTAAATTAAAAACAAAAAAACATTATACTATTATAGCTGACACAGAAAACGAACGTAAAATAGGAAGCTAAATCATTTGAACTGTGTCACTCCATCTGGTACGTGTCTTAATTATTGAAACCGATTGGAAAGACAATTTACTCAAATAATTATTACAGTAGGTAGTATTTCGTTGGAATTTAATAAAACGAAGGGGGAAACTCAAGATAATTATTTTATAGCCATCATTTAACCAATTATTGTAGTCATCGCCATATTTTATAGAATATAATATTAAACTTAGAGGAGCTCGATAGCGTATTGGTTAGTGCGTTCGGACTGCGATACGGTTGTTAAGCAACATGATCATTAATGTTATTAAATTAAATGAGAGGAAAATTAACACGCAAACGATAAATCTATACATAACATAAAACAAAGTCGCTTCCCGCAATCGGTATGCTGAGATCTATGTATAAAAACTACACAATGTATTTTAAAACGGTTTTAATAATTATATATTTTTATCAATACATCATAGTGTTTTAAGAGGAATGTTTATATTTATAAATAAGAAACAGAACTAGGCGGCAAAACTGCTGGCGGAAAGATAATTATTTTTATATTTCTCTCAAAATCTTTTTTGTTGATATTATTAATAATAATAATATACTTTATTACACACACACACACACACGCCCACACACACACACACACACGCACACGCACACACACACACACACACACACACACACACACACACACACATCTTAAATAAGGAATACAAATGAAGTTTAATGGATATATTAAATAAAAGTGTAAATTATGATAAACTAGCTTTCCGCCAGCGGCTTCGCACGCGTGGTTTTGTATTATACATAAAAACCTTCCTTTTGAATCACCCTATCTATGAAAAAAACCGCATCAAAATCCGTTGCGTAGGTTTAAAGATTTAAGCATACATAGGGACTGAGAAAGCGACTTTGTTTTATACTATGTAGTGATATTCAAGATCTGCAAAGGAAATAGTTTTTAACTTCATCGCATATGATTTCAGCGAGCGAGCTTTCCTGATGATTTCTGGCAGAGAGTTCCAGTCGGACAACGTGCACAGAGAAGGAATAAGAGAAGAAGTCAGTTGTGTGGTGAGGAAACTTGAGGGTAAGTTTGGTAGAGGACCGCAATGAAAAATAGGATGGAGAGGGATGAAAAGAGAAGCAATGCTTGAGATATTGTGGGGTAAATGGCAGGACAGTATAGAATAAAGAAACGTTAGAAAACCTATTCAGTAGTTCCCCGATCTCTTCATAATTAAGGGTATAAAGCCATTTCTCAACCACGATTTTACATTTTCGTAAGGTAAGACTGTAAATTTTAAGGATTCTATTTATTTTGTTATACAGTTTGGGGCGCAGGAACTGATATTGTCGACTCGCTACACTAACGTTACAGGACTCTAGTCTACACACTCTATCGGATCTACGCACTCGCTTATTAAAATTAGGAAAATTAAAATTATAGAATTTTTAAACTCGATCCTTAAGTTTCCGAGTTTATTAAATGTCAACAAACAGGTTAATCCTTCCTCTTTATAATATTAAAGTAGATAACACTGTCACCGAATAATTCTTGTTTCATTTACCTATAAGTAAAAATCTAAATGATTCTGTAAAAAAAAACGCAACAACTAGTATTTCGAAGGATGAAAATAGAAACATAACAACATAGAACCTACATTGATTCCTTATGTAATATGTACAAGTTGGAAATGGGTAAGAACTTTCTTTGAGAACACATTGAGCTACGTAAATTTATGAGCATGAACATGGTGTCCCGTATTTTTCTTGATGTTAGCTTATTAAGAGCGACCTCGTAAAAAGAAAAAGAAAAATTCAGTGGATTCAAATTCCTCGAATATAACGAACGACTCGTCTCAAATAATTTACAATGTAATAATACCCATAATAACAATTGGGGCATACTTTTTATGCTCCTTATAAATTAAGCTGATGCTTATTACGCTTATGTTCTATCACGACCAAGAAATATTAAATTGCCTAACGGAATGGCAATTACAACGTAAAGAGGCCGTTGGGATTTTAAAATAAATTAATGTCATTTGTTATGAATGCCTTTTACCTTTAATAACGCTCGTTTTACCCGATTACGGCGAAGGCAAAAGAAGGGTTATGATTTTGGCCAGCATGTATGTAAGAATGTTCATCTGTTCCCTTATAACTTCGAAACTACTCTTCGTAACTGGATAAATAAGGTATCATTAGAAGCATCTTAGTTTTCCGCAAGCTATGTGACGTTACATTAAATTAGCAATAGCGCCCTCTAGAGAGCAGAAAGTAAGAAATTAAAAAAAAAATTTAATCGTTCCGTGATGGGTATCAAATAAAACGGCTTCATTGGCACATTTAAGCCTTGCTTATTATTTTGCTTAAATACACCCGAAATTAATTAAAAAATAAGAAAATTTTTAATCCGACTAATCAGCTAAATCACGCTAGGAATAGTTAGAAACAAGAAATTTATTTCGCTATATTATAGCGATAGCTATATTATAATAGCGATGACCAAAGGACAGCGTAGGCGTATGCCATTCACTGATCATAATAAAATAAACTGTTGTAGCAGCATTCCGCATTTTTTATACAAAAGGGAGGATGACTATAATAATGAAATATATGTAAAAAAATATCGGGAAGACGGTATGGAAAAGCCTTAAACCGGAAAAGAATGATACGCAGATGAGGAGGCATATCTTCGAAGTATAGATAAAAATAGTTCAATATTTTTATCCAAAGCTGACCATTCGTTTTGACTGCTCACGTTCTTACAATAAAAATCGAGCTAGTTTCTGGTCGAATGAACATATTCACAACTAATCAGAAAGGTTTAGAAGTTTTCGCTGTGTGAAAAAAATGTAATAAAAGCCTATTCAAAATTTCTCGATGTCCTTCCGAAACTCCTGAATTGTAATTTATATAAATTTAATTGGATGAGATTTATTATTTTGTTCCTTCCTTCTTTCTTTATATTAAATGATGCTGAATTATAAAATATCTCCGTCTTGAAAGGTCAATAGGTACTTCATTTTATTAACGCCCATTTAAATAATGGTGTCAAAATAAATGTACAATCAAGAGTATATTGAATTCGTAATCGCTCGATAATAGACTTCATTAATATTTAATTCCTTTCAAGAGGATAAAATGGTCTCAAAATTCAGAGACGATATCATGAAGAACTTTACAGGATATCATTTTAATAGTAGAGCAAATTACTTGGATTTACTAAGCGTTGTCTCTTGCAATGAAACGAGAATTTATTAAAGTTTATTGTATTTGTATATCGGATTCTCGCAATAAAACTTTTGATTAGATATCACACTGATTAGTTGTTGTTTGCAGAACTTTTTTTTGTTTCCTTATTTTCGTTAATCGAAATCCGGTGTACGAACATAAAAACATTAATCAATTATAATAAAAAGTTATATTATGATTTCGCTTTTTTTATTAATGCCAGTTATTTAAGCACCTTTCTTTATAGTATTTTAATGAAGATTTACGACTTAAAATTTTGCAAACATAATTTTAAATGAACTGACGAGATTTTTTCTAACTACAGATTAAGTACAGAACTTTAAAGAAATCTTATACCATTCGTTTTAACTTTAGTATCTATTACCAATATATAAAATACACTTAACCTAAACATAAGCTAAATACAACAATTGGACTCAACTGACATTCAAATCCAAAGAGGTATCATTCTGTTCAAATCAATTCACATTGTCATCTCTCAATTATTATTAAGTTCATGCGTACTTTAAATGTTGACTACCGTGGTAGTCGTGTTTTGCGAGCGCTACGATTTTAGAGGCACCAGCTGTTCTCCAGTTGGCCTAGGCAAAGGCAATACTTTACGGGCCAATCTCGTGAATGTGCTTCGGAACTGTTTGCTCATGCTACAGTACAGCACAAAGTTGACAGCAGATCCCACAAGAGCCATTAGATCCATCACTTCACCTGCCGACAAAAAAAAAACAATAAGTTGTTAGAATACTTTTACCACTATAAGAACATGGATATAATAAATAAAAAGTTGTTATTTGTACACTCTGATATTAGATCAGACATAGTCGAACTATAAAAGAGTTTTATCAATAAATGCGGATTGTAATAACATGGATATAGTATATAAAGAGTAGTTATTAGTTTAGGCTGTTAGCAGATCGATCAGATTCAAAGGACTCTTTAGAAATGAATTTTCTCTACACCTTGCAAATTCATCACCATCATCATCACCAGCCCTTTTACGTCCCCACTGCAGGAGCTCAGGCTTTCCTTATGGATGGTTAAGGAGGATGGGCCACCTCGCAAATTAATGACATGATATTACAGTTCTGACGATTATATTCACCAATGCGGAGGTTTAAATATGTTTTCATACAAAGGAAATCTAAAAATCCTTTCTTTCGTCTTTTTTGTGTTTTATTTGGATTGATATGAATTTCGTTAACTCTGTGAGATAAGGATTAATAGGATATCTAAGTATATTTTAAATGAGTAAATAAAAAAAGAACTCTTGTTATTCTAGCAGGGCCATAATGTGCATATTTACGTTAACACCTTTATTGCCAAGCCAAAATCTTGGACTTAAATTAATGGCCAACAACTAGCGGGCGCAACCAACAATGACCACAACGCGACGTTGCATTAACAGCCACAGCGTAAGAAGTCTTATGAACTTATTAATAAATGTTTACATCTCAGAGCTTAGAATATAGAAGTCGCAAGAAGGTAAATTAAACTTTTCTACAAGATTAATTCAATCAATTTATCATGGCAATAAGTTTACTTTAGTTTTACACATCATTAGTTATTCTCACTTATTAAGTTATTCGCAACTCTTCTATTTGTTTCTTTCCCTTTTGTGATACATATCGTCTAATAGTTTAATAACGAGTGCAGCTACAAGTGCAACAGTTTTAATTAAATAATCTGCTGCTAAAACCACGTTTAAAGTCAGTTTTGACACCAAAGTCGGTCTGGTCACCTATTAATTACTTGTCACATCAAATATCAAATAAATATCCATTCAACTCTAATCCAATTAAAAATTCTCATACACACATACAATAAACCTATTTGTTTATAAAATGTTCTTATACACACATTATATACCTATTTGTTTGTATTACATTATATTTGAATACTGATATCATATAACTTTTGGCAGTGTCTTTTGTTTGATAGGGTCTTATTTACATAACATTTAATTTTCCAAACACTGGATACTCTTGGTAATAAACAATAAATTCTGACATTATACAAAACCTAACAAGCCTTTTCTCAAGACAAGGTCCTTATCAAGACAAATTAAACAAGCCCAATCTCCAAATATGGGTCTGCAAATTTTAGTTCATTTATAGAAGTTCCATAGCTACCATCATACTCCATCATCAGATCAGCCCGTTAGATAATAATAATGTTTATCTGTAATTGCATATTCAATCCGGAATATAAAAACATATTTGTAAGTAATATATAACTATTTTAAATTCATTTTTTATGATGTGGAATGGGTGTTGTCGCCCATGTTGTTTTGTTTACATATCAATATTACATCATAAACATAAAAAATAGCGTTTTCGCAAGTAAGTACATTTTTTCCACGGATTTTCGGAATTTATTTTTTTAAATAAAACCGACTTAAGTAAACGTATGAAAGTGTAAAATAACACGCCTCCAAAACGTGATTAATATTCAAAGAAAACTATAATGAAGTTGAGCGGAGTTTTTATCTGAGTTTTTAATATTAACCGCTAACTTTTTTAGTAGAAGTTTCTCGAATCTTTTTCATGAAGTAAAAACTTTGATATCACCATATCCAAAGGCCTAAGAAAGTAAAATTCGCGATTAAAAATAAAATATTAATGAAACGTGCTTACTATTACTACTTAATCGAACTACCAAGTTGGGGACAATTTATTTCTGAATATTAGAAACTACCCACAATTGGATTTACAAAACCTAAAAAAGCTGACATAGGTATATAGATAAAAAGCGAAATAACCTGATATATTTAAAATGAAGATGCCGATTAAACTAGTCTTACACAAATCTCTCTAAATTAAATCGAAACATCAATTGATGAAAACAAGTTGTTGTGATCAGTCTTTGTCATTTGTTGTTTGTCTCAACCGTATTGCTTTATTTATTAGATCTAATTGTCAATACAGAAATTGAAACCATTATTTACAATGTTAAATGGATATCCTATTAAATCCAGTATTGTTTGGTAATCCGCAAGACATTTATAATAATGAACGAATTTGGTTGTACATACGTACCGCTAATTCCACATTCATCAAAGTTGAACCTAGCCATTAACATGACCTATTGTTTGACACTTGGATCGGACCGTGCGTGTAATAAATTATTATTATTATAATGTGAGCTTAAATTGTTGCGTTAAATATTTTATTTACGAGAGTAAAGTAACATCACTTTTTGCTTTCCTGATACTCTTGAAATTCAGAAATATAATGCCTTTTTTTACACGTCATTCATCGATAGCTCAACGAGAGAAAGTCATAAAAATACTTAGCTTTAAAAAGTACAGAAATATATTTTTTTGCTAATGGGATGTTTCAAAATATACGTAATATAAATTGTTGGGGAGACCAAGGGGTTGAAAACAAAGGTGAGTTGAAACGATCCTGATTTTTCGAAATTTAAAAACCATTAGCAAGATTGATATCATCTTTGCTACCGTTTTACCACCATAATCAGTTAATATGTGATGTACAAAGTTACTAATAGTTTTATATTTCGAGAAATCACGGTTGTTTCAACTCACCTCTAAACCGTAAACTACCACCAAATCAAAATTTGGGAGTCTTGTCTGAGAAGACTCCCAAATTTTGATTGAAATTCTGAAATTCTGAACTGTCGACACAAATTCCGAGAAAAAAAGTAATTGCTCTCCTTTTTAATTGAATATTTACAAAAGGCACTAACTATTACTGTTGGTTTTGCAGTGAGTGATCTGGATTGAGATCTTATTTGACTACTTACTGGATTGCAAGCTCATTCATCTCTATTATAATTTCATATGATTTTAACGCGCTTCTTTTAATTTAGCCTCGCGTATCATTCTAGAATTGAATCGCTATTCAGTTACAAGAATTTTTGGGTTGTCAAACTTTATGTAATGCTTGGGTTTTCCTAACGCATGTTCACACACTGCAGATTTATTTTCGCGCCTATGCTTAACGTTAGCTACATGTTCCCTAACGCGAGTTCCTATGCTCCTTGTTTGCCCGATATATGAGAGCCCACAGTCGTATTCTAGTTTGTATACATCTGCAACTTGGTTGATCTTCTTCGGCGGTTTAAGGTAACCAATAACAAAAGGGCTGAAATCGTTTAAAGTTGTTTTATTTAAACATTTCTCTTTAACTTTATCAATAATTATAAAAATAAGAAGATAACATTTTCGTTAATCAAATTAGCACCTGGCCGCATGGATGATAAAATCGAGCATAAAGTTCCATTGAACATTATACAGCCCATTACGATATAAAATGAAACTTGAATAATCATTAAATAATGAACAGTTCAAGTTCCGTAATCTACATCTCTAACTTCAATTGCAGTGGAATGAGTTTCGCTCAAACAGTTCTGTACTCTTGAAACTCGTTTCATCTATATTATTTACCGGATATGTCTATCCAAATTTAGTTCATTTACCCAAGTCAAAGTTTCAGAGACAAAGTTGTAAACAACAAGTAAGGACATAACCACCTGGGGGATACGATTTCCTGTCAGATCGATATAAAATGTGGTCTTTCTTATATACCTCAAATCTGGGTTCGTGATATATCCTATTCAAAAAGCTACTCTCAACGTAAATCAGAGTAAAGTCTTTGTAAATAAAATCACTTACAGATTTACGATCAATACATTCTTAACAAAAAAGTAGCTGAGTTAGTGTTAGTACAAAAGTAGGTTATTTTAACTCTGGAACGCGTCCTGCATACAGATTAACCGACCCTATTTGTTTCGGGACCCAATAAATTCTTTACCACTTAGTTAGAACAATGCTTTAGCAATCATTATTTTATTATTATATCGACTTCATTCTCGAAATAGAGGATACCTACTCATTTATTGAAACACAATCGAAAACAATAGAGAATTCTGTTTTGTGTCATCATCAAAAGCATTAATATTCAATTGAGGATTTAATTAAATTGGTCAAGAGCAGACATTTGAAGTGTTTTGTTATTATTTAGAACTCTAATGCTGCTATAATTTAACTAACCTATTATTAAAACATGATTTGATAATAAACAAAATATTGTTATAACAAAAACTGGTTTCGTATACATATCTCTTCCTGGAAACCTTGTTTTTATGTATCAAGAATTTAACCACATGAATATTTATGCCAAATGCCACCCACTGGTCAACCCATCGGTTTGGAAAATAACCTTGAACATTATTTTCAGTTCAATGAAGATGTTTTTATTATATAAAATTTATGTCGACTTAATAAACCCTCGCACTCCCATACTAAACTTAAGACAGGAGTGCTTTTTTGCCAGTGACGTAATAAGAACTACTTACATTTCTGAAAAGGTCGGTCGTTTGAGTGTGTGGACTTCATTTATTTTTTATGGTAATGTTCTCGACCCTCACATTTTTCTACCTTGAGGACTCTTAAGTGTTTTACAGCAACCAACGTGACATATAATTATTTTTTGTATATTCAAATAACCAAGTTGATTAGAACATCACTGTTCCAGTTGAAATGTCTCAGTTTGCTACTGAGTTGTGATGTAAATACCACCCACTGCATGCGCATTTTCTATGTCAGCAACGCAAAAATTTTTTGAGTAAATAACATAAAAAGGATAATTTTATTAAAGGAAAACATAATAAATGGGACGCAATGTAGGATAAGTATTTTTAGTGTGTATTTTAATAAAAAAAAAGGATTGTTGTGTAGATATCAAAAA